TAAGAACTGCATTTCAAAATGCAACTTGTATATAAGAACTTATATCGGATTACATTGTTACCCAAAAGAAGTACACGTAATCTCTTATTATACACCATTTTTATGAATTTAAGAATTTTAACCCACTTTATCTTTATAGAAATATTTTTTTAGCATAAGATTTTGTTGTTACATGCATAAATGAAAAACAATTTAATTTTTTTTTTTGTTTTTTTTTTTGTAAATTACGATTGTTTTTTCTTTTGAATTCATAATAGTTTTTCGTTTTTCTTTTTGTGTTTTCCTTTCAAATGAATTTTTAGTAAAGGATTTTGAATGGTTCGGTTAAGATCAAAAGAAATAAACTATAAGGAATTAAAAGAAAAAAAAAGAATCGTTATTTTTCTAACAAAAATAAAAACAAATGAAAAAAAAAATTTGACTTTTTAGAACTTTTTTTCATGTTACACAAGCACAAGATGTACGGAGAGAGAGAAACAAAATGAAAGAGAGAAAAAGACAGAGAGAAGTTAAAGGGATTAAAGCTTTTTATTTATTTTCAAAGAGATTTTATTTTTAAATTCTTTAAAAATTTGAATGTATATGAAATGAAATTTAAGGGAGAAAAAGGATTAAAATCAAAGGACATACTATAAAAATTGTACATAACAATTGATTAATGGGCAGGTCATTTTGTTTTTTTTTCACCAAGAACAAAAAAGGGAAAATTTAAAAAATCCTTTTATATTTTTTTTTTTTGTTTGTTCTCTGAATTTTTAATAAACGTGCAATGAATTATAATTAAGATTTTACAGAGGGCGTTAGAAAGTTCTCTAACACAATTTTTAATTTCCATTTATGGCATTGAAAATGGAAAATTTAAATTTATTAACAATTTGAAAAAAAAAAAATTTATTATAAAACTTTCACATTGTTTTAAATTATCAAGAAAATTATAAGGTTACTCTGTTATTGAAATAGAGGATGAAAGGATTTATATATGGGTTCTTTTATAACTTATGTTTTAATTTGCTCTTGCGAGGTCATTCTTAAATACAAAGCATCTGTTTTCTTTTCGTATCTCAATCAATTTAACAGCGGTTCCTATGTCTGTACTGACGAATTTTCGAGGGGTATTGTAAAATATACAATATTCTGAGTCGTTTGAATCACTTTTACTGTTTGTTCTTCCGATAAATGATTTGAGCGATAACTCAAAAACGCATTACTTGTGGCATGAAATTTGATCGAAATATTGATTTTCGAGTAGCTGTCATACAATTTCAAAAATAATGTAAAAATATTTAGAAAACTATAAATTTCAAATTTGAAACAAGTTGTTGCGAAAAAAGAGCAATTATTGCTATAGAATTTAGCACTTATTGTACCAACTCTGTCAATAGCTATATTTTAAAATTTTGAAAGTTTTATTGTTGTATCATAAAAATACACAAAATTGATCCAACCAAGCTCACACCACAGAGTTCACACGGTCAAATGTATTTTTTTCCCTTAAATTTTTTTATAAGCACCCGCATTTTACAAAATGACTCGATAAATGCGAATATATAATCTGATGCAAAAAGCACCTGTAAGTAATTCTAGCACTTCTAGTTCCACTCTTTGTTAATCCAGTATTTACTCGAACTGAATTTTTAAATTCTTCTAAGTGAAAAGCGTTGTCTGAATTTAATAAGTACCTACTGAAAAAATTTGTATTTCTTCTTTTGTAAAGATTAGAGACGCTTGGATAGATTGAAACGAATTATAGATTCTAATTCATAGTTTTATTAATAATAACACCTATAATTCATGCTATTTATAACAAGCTAGTTAGTTCGTAACTAGCATGAATATTATTAAAGCATGTTATTTAAATGTCATTTCAAATGACACAAATTTTATACATCCTGTACAAAACCCTATAGGGAATTTAAATTAATTTTTAATAATTATTATGATTTATTTAAATTTCGAAAAATAGATTCTATTTCGGAAATTTTTCTATTCTATTAAGAAATTTTTTAAAAATTTACATTTTATTCAATTTATAAAATGGTAATTTATTAGATAATTTGAATTCAATTTAAAAGTTATTAAAGTGGGTTAAAATTTGTTTTGTCAATTGAAAAATAATGGTATATAAAAATTCTCTAGAAGATTAAAAAGTATAAATTTTCGGATTATATTAGATTATGTGTATGAAATTTCTATTGAATTTTAAATACAAATGTTAGAATAAATTTTGAAATCTTAAGCTCAAATTTTAGTTTATCAAATTAAATTATAGAAATCGTGTAATGGGAAGTGGAAAATAATAGAAAAATCTTTTGTTTTAAGTTTCTAAATAAAATAAAATTTTGTTTCTAGTTTAATAAATTGCATTAAATTTTAAATTGAGTATTCACAAATGTTGGATGAAATCGCTTAAGAAACTTTCCGATTTTTCTTGTAGCTCTACAAACTTTTTCTATGCTTTTCGGGAATACACCACTGTATATTTCAATTTTGATTCGATTGCCAATAATAATAACTCCTTAATAAATTTTACAGCTGCAAATCAATGGGTGTTGTCCTCAGATATATCCTTGAATCGTTTCAGATCTATTATTTTGTACTTCATAACTAAACTCTCAAAGGCATGAATCTTTCTTTTTTATTATTTTTCTTTTTGTATTCTTATACGAATACTTATTCATTACGTATTAGATCTAGTAGACATTAAAATAGAAGTATTCATTTCCTTTAGTTTAAGTGTAGTTTGATGTTTCACTTCTAACATTGATGAGCTTCTTGATTTAAAGGTTTATGACTTGTCTTTTTTATAATCGCATAATTGATTCAAAATTATTTTTGTTTATATATACCTTTCTAAAGTTTATAAGTTTGTGAGAATTAGAATATAAAAATTCTTGTCTTAAAACCACAATTTAACTGAAAATGCTACCAATATTGTAAAATTGTGTTAATTTACATAAGTCAAGTCATAATTGAACTTAAACTTTAGATTTTCATATGCATAGCATGTTTTCGAATAAGAACCCAATTTTTTAGAAACTAGTATACTAAAAATAAATTTTTATATACGCAATTATTGGCGTTCTTGCAATAAAGTCATTAACTAAATAACTCGTTGCTAAAGCCTTAAAATATATTCTCTATAAAACTTATATTTAAAATTAAAAAATTAATCTAGATTTATTACTAAAATTACTATTAAATTTTCCATAAAAAAAATCACTGAAAATTATTTAAAATTAAGCGAAATTAGTTTTTAATTTGCCTTAATTTCTACATTTTTTTTTTAAAACTTTAATAAAAAATTTAAAACTAAAACAAGAAACAAATTAAAAAATTAAAATTTTCGCCAAAATATTTACAAAGCCATTAACACGACTACTTTCTTTAAATTCATATGAATGCATTCGCAAAATACATACTTACGTCATATAAGAAGAGTATGTACGTATGTATTAATATTAAAGGTATATAAGTATATGTAAAAAGTTTAATTCAAAAACTATCAAAGAACAATTTTTTAAAGCAAGTTAACAATAAAATTAAATATAATTTTAACTACCCCAAAAAAAATATTAGTAAATGTAAAACTTGAATACAGGGGGTTTCTGTCTTTCAAAATGATCAAATTAACACTTGTAGTTAAAAAGAAAAAATTAAAAGGATTCTAAGAAATGTTGAATATTCGATAATATTGTCCAATGTGTAGAGAGAAATCTTCACACGATATCTGAATGCCTCAGGTACGTGCATCTCAAGAGAGTTGTAGGAATACATTCTAGGTATGAAGATACAGTAGATGTGGTGGAATCATAATTTTGCAATTTACAATAAGCAGCTGGCAAAAAACTTTCAATTTTCGTGTATAATTTTGTGGATTTTTCAAAATGTGCTGTAAGTTGTTAATTAATTTTATTATAAATAGTGTCTGTCTGTTCTTTAGTTTGATTTAATAATTAACAAAATGTTAATTACAGATTTGTTTGGCATATTTTTACAAAAAAGTTTCTTAATATTCCCGATTAAATAAAGAGATTTTTTGTACAATATTAAGGCAGGATTTTCTGTTATCCAATAGAAATTTTAGCATCGTTGATTACTGCTGAAACAAGCTGGATTTTTAAATATTTCAATTTTTAAATTAACATCCGTAAAGTTTTAAAAACTGTGCATAAACTGAAATTCTTAAACAAAAAACTTTGAAAAACTTTAAGCCCTAAAAGAGATTAACAGTTTCTAAGCTTAAGAAATTATTTAATTTACACATAAAGCTTTGAATCTACGCAGCACTTTCAAAGCTGAAATTTCCTTAAAACCACCCGTTATTATAACAAAACCTAATTAATTTCTAAAATAATTGCGATTTCACACGTTGTAATTGAAAATTTGATCATTTTGAATCGGATACCCCTTGTATATTTTAATTGCATTACAATAGAACTAAACAAGAAAATTTTTAAGTTATGAAACAAGAAGAAATCCGTGGAAAAACTTGTTTTTAGCGCAAAAATAATAAACAAAAGCCAAAAAACTTTAAAAAACTAAATTGCAAATTTTTTTTTTGTTTTACTTTTCCCCTAAAAATTTTTTTAATTGGAAAAATACAACGTTATTTTTGTTGTTTTTTTTTTTTTTTAATTTTTTCACTTATTCTTTTTGATTTTTTTTTTGTTTTTACTATGCAAAAAAAATGCACACAGAAGCTAAAATAGTAAATAATTTTCCTAAAGGCATTTTAGGAGTTCTCTTCAATTAGCTCCTAAAAGTATACTTTTTATATTTATATTAAATATACATACATACATACATACATATGCATGTATTTATGTATATATAATAAAAATATAATCCTTTAATAGTATGCGTTAGTGTACTGTTATTATATATAAATATAGAGTGATGTAAGTAGTAGTAGAAAGAATTAAGAAAGAAAACTACACAAAAAAAAAAATACAAGAAAACGAAAGAGAAGAGAAAAAATTCAATTTTGTTTTTTAAATTACCTTGTAGTTGTCGATTAATTAGTGCTGTTAAACCATGACCTTCATTTTTCTTTATACATAACATAGGTTTATCCTCAGAATCATCACCATAGTTACCAGATGGTAAGAAACCATTACTTGCCATTGTTTCACTGACCTAAAAATAGTAGAATAGGGTAAAATGAAATTAATGTTTTGTTTTTCTATATAATTGAAATAAAAAGAAGAAAATTTTAAAAATTTTCTAATTATAATTTAATTTTGTTGCATAAGAATTTTTTTTTTCTCTTTTAAAATGAGAAATTGTAGCATTTTCTCTGTTTTTTAATTAAGAGGGAAAATTACAGATTTTTTTGTTTCTTCAAAAAAGAGGAAAATTGTAGATGTTGTAGTTTTGTATTCGAATGCAAATGGGAAAGGGAACGTCAGTTTTAAGCTAAAAGGAGCTTCCGGTTGTTTGCAATACCAATAGATTAATTGTCAATAGTTTGAAGCTATTTTTGTATCAATATTGGCTCAAACTTAAAAAATTACTATATGTACGCCTACTTCTGCCCTATGCCTAAAATGAAAAATATTTAAATTTGAATAATGTTGGGGATGCATAAAAGTCTCAACATTGGTACGGTTTGAAAAAAATTGTATTGAAATAGGCAGTATTGAACTGTGACTATTGATAATTTTATTGAAAAACACAGGATGCGAAATAATTTTTTATTTAATTTTTAGAAATTTCGAAATTGAACTGCCGCTTTTAAGCCAAAAATTTCACGTAATAGCATCCATTTTACACTTATAAAATTTCAAAATAAAATTATATAAGTCAATTTTGGAAATGCAGGATTTTGATAAAACTTACATTGCAATTTTAGAATTCAGCTTTTAAAATAAAAACAAAACAATTTTAATTATTTTTTGTGATTCAAAATTTAAAAATTTTGTGCCAGCTAAAGCTAAACTATTTTCGACAATGTTCAAATTTTAATCATATTGTGGAAATTGTGAATTTATTTAAAAGTGCAGTTTGAAGGAGAAAGTGTTGAGAAGATTCAATTATTAAATTATATTTCTCAAAAAATAAATCTTCGTTTTTGTCAAAATTAACAAAATTTTTCAAAATCTAAAGAGCTTAGAGAAAAAAAATACAGAGGACCTTATACAATGAATTGGGACCTCATACTAGTACTTTAGAAGACATTAGTTGGGCAACATTTTTTAATAAATTTATAATTAAAATAGCTTTAAGCAATTAAAGCGATATTTTTATGGCAGAACTTAATTTTCAATTCAATACTGTATGCCAATTAAATATAGAAAAAAATTTCAAACGATATTTGAAAAATGCGGTATTGTGGTTAAATATTAATATTTGTATAGTTAATTATATTATCAAAATGTAATTAAAAAATCGTTTATTTTAATTTAATTTCTATGGAATTCTCGAAAAAAACAATAAAAAAATTTTAATTTTATTTAAATTATATAAAGGATTTTAAGGATATTAATATCGTATTAAAATTGTGTAAATGTTTAAGTGTATGTAATGAAATTAATTACGTTTATTTCTGACAAAAAAATATTACCTTAATACAATGCTTTGAAACAAAATTCAAAATGTATTCGAATAAGGTTGATAATTAAATTGGGCAGGCAAAAGTTTAATGGTGCAACTTATAAGTTAGCAAATTATTATTAGATTTACTGTATCAGTTTTTCGTTTGTTCGTGGATGTGTTTAAGAACTTCTGTTTATAAAATGTCAAATTTTTCCAGCAGTTTCTCTGCAAAACAGCAGCTCGAATGTCTCTTAAATTTTTAGTTTATAGGATGCAATAAATATGAATTCTTTCTCTTTTCCGAGTTTTACTCCTCAAGATTTGTAAAATGCCGATTTTTTGCCCCTTTAAGATTTAGTGAAATTAATTTAAAAAAAGAAAAAGGTAGCAGTATTCAAAACCTTATCTAAAAATACAGCCCTATTACTTAAATAATTAATAAAATTCAAACTTCACTTTGTTCATAAATTTCCAGAGAATTATCATTTTAATTGAAGCCGTAAGTGGACAAAGTGGTTAACTTACATTTGCATCTTAAAACTTTTTTTCATTATCAAATTAATTGTAATTAAGTTTCTAGCTATAAGAGTAATCACAGTTGAAAATATAAGAAATTTAATTATGTTCTATCCGAGCAGCTCGATTTTCGTCAAAATGTTAGTTAACCACTTTGTCCATTTACCTCTTCATTTCTCCTAAATTTATGCAAATTCATTTGATAATAAGAGATTTCAATGATTTGGTTTCATTACTTGGGCCTAAGTATGCCTATAAAAATTTCTTTAAACTTAAATTGCGAAAGTGGAATGAGCTATTTTACACATTTGACGACTACAGATTGAATTACATTGCCAAACTTTTCTAAAATCAATATGAAATTTTTACTTATGAGAAATTTTGTTGCCTTTAAATTAAATTTTAAATCTATATAAGTGAATTCACACGAATTTTATATAACGGGAAAATTTTTTTGTTTTTGATGCCTTAATCGGGCTTATACCACTTCTAACAGTTCTACCACATTAAATTTCTATTTTTAATATCAAAAAATCTTTTCAATAACGATTTTTAATTTATTTTTAAAAACTTTTTAATGATGGTGTATCTGACCTGGTTAAGGTGTTAAGAAATTTCACTTTTATTTTTCTATATCTAAAGTGAATTAAATTATGTTTAACTTAATCTCTATTTCGTAGATTAAATACGTATGTAGGTACACATATTACCATAAAATATACTGCAAGCAAAATGTGAAAAAAATTATTTTATAAAAATATTGTTAAAATTTACGGTAAATCAATTTCTATTATAATGTCACTAACACTAGAAACTGTAATAAATTACGTACAAGTTAAGTTTCATGTAAAAAGATTAAAAAAATTTCCTGAAAAATTTTAATTTTGCATCGTTGAGAAAGAATGTATGCATATTCTATAAATTAAGTTGTGCTCATGACCTACAGTATTTTCCTTTTATTCAATAATTTAAATATTTAAATATTGTGCTATTATTCGTAATGAAGTACAGTAAAACGTCCATTCATTTCCTGCTCTATAGCGGAACTAACTTCATAATCTTAACTTTTAGTTGACCCCAGTTTATATCATTGGGTCTAGATACAAAAAAATAAAATGTTGAATGATCTTAATTTTTAATAAATTATTTTAAATGTAATATAAATTAAGGCTCAACATAATGTCATATGTCATTTCAAATAAGAAATTTACAATTTTGTAAACGACGATCAATAGTCAATGAGTTCGGAGGAAACCAATGGTTTTTGAAGTAGAATATTTTCAAGTGGAAACGTTTTTTTTAAATAATGTTTGATTTACTATAGTTTTCTTAATATATGTCGCAATATTGCATACTTTTAGGATGATAACAAAATTAAAGGACTAATAAATGGAATTAATTACAATACTTTTCTCCTTGTGAAGTGAATTATTTAATAATATTAAGAGCTTGATAAAATTTTAAACTTCTATAATTTATCGTCTAAGAGAAAATTGATTTGAAATATTTGGAAAAATAGGTTTAAGACAACTTTCATTACATTGAGGCCTTAACTTTTATAGGAGAGATGGGACAGAAAAGAATTTTTCATATCGAGAAATATGCTTGTGTATAAAATATAAGCTATCTATCTTAAAGGGGCTAGAAACTTTCTAAACAGAGGCACTGAACTATTACAGGATGAAATCGTCCAACACAAGCAAATAGATATTTTCTAATTTTGTTGGCTAAAAATTTAAAACATTTTACTTTGGACATGACATGTAATCGTAGATTACTGTACCTTCTTATGATTTATTACTTTCATGTAGGTAGAATTAAACAATTATTATTGATTATTTATGTTTATTTGCTTGTATTCTTGAGTTTGTATTCTTGAATTTAGTATACAAGCTATCCTATTAAATTAATTTTATAGGATAGCGATACAGGAAGAATATATTTAATAATTTAAAGAATTTATGCTAGAATATTCGTTGAGCTCTTAAAAAAAAAAAATTAATTGTTTAGAAAAAGATGAATATTGGGAGAAGTACACAAATCAACTCTTATATTTAGGTTTTAAATATGCACTATGCACACTTTATATGTAATATGCAAACCCGCAAGTACTTATACTCATGCGGCGTGTACAAATGTCAAAGCACTTAAATTAAAAATAGAAAATTTTGTTCACATCTGTACGTTCATAAATCTGAAAATACATCTATGTTAATACGAACTTAAATACAAAAAACATCGTAGGCTGCTGGAAACATTGTTTGCACATATATATGTGTACATGTTTGTAACATTGTACCGTGCATTTTAATTAAAATCTGCATTTTTGTGCTTTGCAAAAAAACAATGTAATTAAAAAGAAAGAAATCCAATTGAAAGTTTTGAAAACTTAAAAAGACAAAGAATATTTTTTTAAAATAAAATTTTAATGAAAAAGAATTTCTTTTTAATTTTAATGTTTTAGATATTTTGACTTGTCATTCATCATTCTAAGATTAAAAAATTAAAATTAATATTTATATCATATTTTGTTTCCTATTGTACACACATATAAAAAAGTAAATCTGCAAATACGTGAATTTGAAGGTAAAAATTAAAATCTATCGGCTTCTAGACGTGCTGAGAATTCTAGAAAATTCATAATTGATTGTGAAGTAATTTGCTAATCCTAGGGTTTGGAAATTTTATAGATCACGACATTTTCAATAATTAACATTTTCGATAACTATAATTTTCCTAAAATCCTTGATGCTGTCTGTTATGATATTCAGTCATTCATTTGTTTGGCGAGAAATTTGATTTTGAACAGTAATGTTGCATTAGAACAGATGCAACATTAAACATGAACAGGATTTTGGGTAAACGTTAATTTTGATTTTTCTAAAGGCAATATTTTATAATTCTGCTAAAGCCGAAAGCTTTTTAAAATTCGCATAATAAAGATAAAAAAAGTCACATATCTTGACTTAGATGTAGCACTTGTGAATTTTTCACTAATAGCTAGGGCTTTGGAACCTTACGTCTTTTTGAGATCTGACCAGTTTCTGACAGTGCGAGTCATATGATTTCGCTTTTGCAGCACTTTA